CCCCAAAACCCCAAAACCCCAAAACCCCTTTGTTAATAATAATTATTGAAATGGCAAATCGTGTTCAGGACAAAGAAGTTCTCCAGTCGAATACAATCGTTGTGGATGATTATGCAGAGGCAAGAGCTCATGAGATCCATCATTTCTCAGATCATATCGGTCGGAAGGCACGCAAATTAACTCATCAGATGCTGCCAAGGAGCATGAAGAGGAGAGCGATGTCTCATAATTATTACAGGGTTCCAATCAGGATCCGGTACAAGACTTTTAAAGAAGGTGAGACTAATACCAAGCTTAAACAAGCTGCTGATTTGAGACGGCCTGGGAAAAATGATGACCTGAAAAAGAAGCCATGGCATCAGAAGCCCAAGAGAGCTAAGACCAGAAAGCACAAACGTAGAACTAAGGATATGCTCCAGCAATATTACAAGAGAATAACAGGTGGATATCAGTGGATGGAGACCCATATTTGGCATGCCAAAAGATTTCATATGGATAATAAATGGGGTTATAAAGTACCTGCTAGGTGTAACGACAAGTGCATGAGAGGTTCTTATAGACACACACAGTTATCTTCAACCCTGATAGACTTGAGCTATTACATCACCCTTAAAGTCACAGCTGAGGGACCACAAGAAATGATTGAATTCTTGCACTCGATTAAATTTCTTGATTCATCCACTAATACTTTAGATGGGCTTAATGTAAATTATTTGTATGAGACAGAGTTCCATGCAACTACTGAACAAGGAGAGTCTAAGGTAGTAGCTCCATGTACGATATTATTCAAAGAGAGCACAGAGGTCATCTTAAATTTCCACCCAGCAGCTTTTACTGAGATAGCAGAGTCCATTGGCAAATTTGATAGCTTAAAATGATGAAAAATCTTCCTGAACCAATTTAAACTGATGGGGCACGAAGCAGTTAAAGTTTTATACAGTGTTATCAGACCATTATTAGCAAACGAGGAGCAAATAAAGTTCTTTGATGAAGTCTTGCTTCCAAATTGGACTTCATTCAGTAACTTTCAGAACAATGAGACTTTATATGTCCCTATCAACAATCCAAACTCAGATTTTAGGATGAATGATAGAATTTTCAAGTACGAAGAGTCAGCTTTTAAGGAACAAAATTTGAAACAATTAGCTGAGGAAGGGTTATACTTCAACTCAGAGTCTGCCAAGAAATCCAAGCAAAAGCTTGCAAATGAAAAGCAGAAGCTAAATCTGTCAACTTATGTTGACTCTTTAAGGATCGACACTGAGGGAGTGAACTCAGGAGATCCCTTCAGCATCCTTGAGGAGAACCCTGATTTATACCTTACTCTTGGTCAGAAGGAGGTTACTGGAGTCCCTCAGACTCCTTCTTGCCGGGACAACTATTTCAGCAATCTCCATGACCACTGAGTCGATCTTGATGAGGTAAACCAGAAGATCACTGTAGAAACAACCCGAACAAATTACACTCACAGGAAGAATTTGAAGACTAATTTTGAGCTTGAGAGCAAAATTAAAAGCAAAAAGAGAGAAATCAAACTTGAAAAAGTCAAGGAACAGCAGAAAGAAGAGAATAAAGAAGAAACTAAAGATGCTCCTATGGAGGAGCAAGAACAATCTGGCAAGCCAGAGAGACAGGTGAATAAGAAAAATCAGAAAAGGAAAGAGCATCAGAGAGACCAGATTGTCCTGAATTTGGTATTCAATAGATCTAAATTCAACCAATTTGGACACGGATTTACTGTTTTTATCGAGTCAGGTTACTCTTTGGGTCTCTTGAGAAGGTTTTCATATGCCAGAGCCAAGGTCATTGGACTTAAAGAGTACAAATTGATCATGCAAGAAAAGCAAGAGCTTGTATACCCAGATGATTACCCAAATACTCAAGCTTATAAAGCTATCCAAAAGGAGCAAATAAAGGAAGCCTTGCTAAAATATTGATTAAAGCCTCCTAAAAAGCGATTGAATTTTGCCAAGATTAATTCTCCCTTTGCATTCAGTCCTGATTGGAGCTTTCTCTCTTGCCTAGCCCAGATCCAAGTGTCGATGCCTAATAGAACACCTGATGAAGGTTATTACATCTGTCTTCCTCAGGATGGAGATTTGTCCAAAGAGTTTGTCGAAGAAGAGACTAATCTAAAAGTGTATGAATCATTAAAAATCTCCCCGAAGGACTATAACTCAGACTATGAGATTTTGTATAAAGAACCTGTTTATCCAAATACTTGTAAGAAAAATAAACTTGAGGAGGACATCAAGATGGAAGACCAAGATTCAAGCTCCCTTAAGGTGATCGATCCTGCGAACTACAGTGTCAAGACTGGACTAACAATATGAAGAGAGCTCATAGGATTCATCACTTCTGGAGGATATTCAATGCTTCAAGGACATGGTGTTGGCAAAGGCTCAATTGATTCTAAACATCTCGCCATTTTGGAGAAAATAGGCTATGTCTTGATCAGGAGTCCATCCAGCACTAAATATTTCAAGGCTAAGATAGTCAGAATTTACTAAAGATTCCTTCAACAGTCTAGATTTATCCTGGGGTTTTGGGGTTTTGGGGTTTTGGGGTTTTGGGG